AAGGAGGGACTGGTCTTTGGAGAGGGACATCATGCTTGGCAAAATGGAGGGGCGGCGAAGGAGAGGAAGACCTTTGATGAGATGGATCAATTCTGTGACTGGAGTAGTGGGAATGAGTGTGTTTGAGATGGCTAGTTTGGCACAGGATAGAATGGCATTTAGAGCTCTTGTACGTAGTGTTGCTATGAGTCGCAAGCAACTTGATGACACTTAACAACAACCACTAACCCACCAGCTCTCTATGCATATATTGTTGTTATGTACCATTGAGTCAGAACCAACCCATAGCTGACCCTCCAGCAGGCTTTCAAAGGCAGTAAATCTCATGGTAGGAGACTGCCCATTTTTTTCCCACAGAGTTGCTTAGCTAGTGTACTCAAACTGCATGAGTTAAGGTTGGCAGTGCAGCTCCTTACCAATAGGCCCCAAAAGCTACACACACACACACACACACACACACACACATTGTACTTGTTGTTAGATGCTGTCAAATTAAGTACAACCCCATGAACACCAGATCTGAACCCTGTCTTATCCAGTGTCATTCTTATCATCTAGGACACACTTGAGCCATTGCTGCAGACACTGTGTCTATTATCTCATCATGAGTCTTATTCTGTTTTGCTGACCCTTCACCTTCCCAAGCATGATGACCCTCTCCAAGGAATATCCTCTCCTGAAAATGTGATCAAAGTATGCGACAAAGCTTAATCATCCTTGCCTCCAAAGAGCACTCTGGCTGTACTTTTACCAAGACATCTTTCATTCTTTTTGTAGTCCATAGGATATTCTGCACTCGTCTTCAATACCACACAGCACAAAGGCATTGAAGATTCTTCTTTACATTGACATCACTGCTCCTTAGTATTCTAGAGACGCCTTTGATTGTAGACTTCTCCAATGTCTTCTGGTTTCTTTTCTTTTTTTTTTTTTTTCTGTCTTCTGGTTTCTTGATTGCTAATACCAAAGGTATTGAGTATAGATCCAAGCAAGATGAAATTGTTGACAATTTCAATCTTTTTTCCATCTATCATGATGCTGCTTACTACCCTGGTGGTGAGGATTTTAGTCTTAATATTGAGATGTAATCCATATTGAAGGCTGTAGTATTTTATCTTTTGCAGCAAGTGCCTCAAGTCCTCTTCACTTTCAGCAAGCAAGGTTGTGTCATATGCATAATGCAAATTGTTCTTGAGTCTTCCTCTGATCATAATGTAACATAAAGCATAGCTTCTTGAATTATTTGCTCAGTATATGTACACATAAACCTCACGTAATGAATTAAACAGGAACCAGATTGACTGATGAAAAAGTTTATGGAAAGAATCGTTGGAGGAGCTCAATAACAGCAGTCAAAATCAAGTGAAATGCTGTGGAACAGACATAAATTACTCATATACAACTTCAAAATGAAACTGAAAATTAAAACAAGTACTAGATTATGATCTTGAATCTATCTAACGTAAATTTAAAGATCATCTCAAGAATAGGATTTTTTTTCCAAGAATAAGTTTGCAGTATTAAACACTAATGATCAAAAAGCAGATGAGTTGTGGGATAACATCAAAGATATCATTCATGAAAAGAGAAAAAGGTCATTACAAAGACAGATGAGAAAGAAAAAACCAAAATGAATGTCAGAGGAGACTAAAAATTTCACTACAGAGTTGAGAAGTCAACAGGTAAGAGATGCTGAAGAAAGAGTTTAAAAGGTTTCAAAGGTAAGCTTGAGACAATAAAGCAAAATATTATAATGGAATGTCCAAAGAACTGGACTTGGAGAATAAGAAGGGAAGAATTTACTTAGCATTTCTCAAGCTGAAAGAACCGAAAAATAAACTCAAGTCTCAGGTTGCAATATACACACATGTATATTCTAGAACGGCAACATAAACATATGGAAACAACTCAATTGTTCACCAGTAAGTACTAGGCACACTAAAGAATAATGGTGAAACACTAAAAAGCATGGATTAATCTGGAGAAATGATGCTGAGTGATCTGTTCTAAAAGTGCTTGATGGTGCTTATGTGAAACCTCTATTTGCACCAAGAAGCAGTACTCAGAACAATGCAAGGAAATATTGCATGGTTCAAAATCAGGAAAGGAGTGCATCAGGGATGCATCCTATCCCCATACCTTTTCAAATTGTATGCAGAGAATTTGAGAATTAGAGCTTTATGAGGAGGAGTGTGGCATGAATATTGGAGGAAGACTCATCAACAACCTACAAAATGCAGATGACACAACCTTGCTTGCTAAAACTGAAGAGGACCTGAAGTGCTTGCTGCAGAAGGTCAAGGACTGTAGTCTTCAATATGGATTGAAACTCAACATCAAGAAGACAAAGATTCTCACCACTGGAACAACTGGCAGCACCATGATAGGTGGAGAAGAGATTGAAGTTATTAGCAATTACAGCTTGCTTGGCTCCACAATCAACACTCCTTTTTCTTTCTTTCTTTTTTTTTTTTGGTGAGAAAAATTTGTGTTTATAATTAGCCAGCTGGACCCAGTTTAGATGATCCCAATTTTGTTGGCAACATCCAAAGCATCATAGTCAGGAGCAAGTCGAACATAGGCCTTCTTCTCTCCATCAGGCCTAATCAAAGTGTTGACCTTAGCCACATCAATGTCATAGAGCTTCTTTACAGTTTGTTTAATTTGGTGCTTGTTGGCCTTGACATCCACAATGAACACAAGTGTGTTGTTATCTTCTATCTTCTTCATGGCTGACTCAGCGGTCAGGGAAAATTTGATGATGGCATAGTGGTCAAGCTTGTTTCTCCTGGGGTTGCTCTTCTGGGGTTATTTGGGCTGCCTTCAGAATCTCAGAGTCTTAGGGCACCGGAAGACGTGCGGATCTTTTTTTTTTTGGCTGTGGATTCCCTTCAGGACTGCCTTTTTGGCCTTTAATGCCTTTGCTTTGGCTTCAGTTTTGGGAGGGGTAGGGGCTTCCTTCATTGTTTTCGGCGCCATCTTCATAGAAAGGCCAATCAACACTCTTAACACAAGCAGTCAGAAAATCAAAAGATGAATTGCATTGGGGAAAATCTGCAGGCAGAGACCTCTCTCCAGAGTGCTGAAAAGCAACAACGTTAGTCTAATTCAGGCCATGGTCTTCTTAATTACTTGTTATGCTTCAGAGAGCTGGACCATGACTAAGGATGACAGAAGAAGAATAGATGCCTTTGAGTTGTGGTTCTGGAGAAGAGTCTTGAACATACCATGGATTGCCAAGAACACAAATAGGTCTGTCTTGAAGAGGGTGAAACCAAGTATCTCCTAGGAGGCTAGGATTTTGAAGCTTCCTCTCACATACTTTGGGCGCATGGCCAGGAGAAACTGGTCCTTGGAGAAAGACATCATGCTCTGAAGGGTAGAGGGACAGTGCAGGAAAGGAAGACCCCAGATGAGATGGATTGATATAGTAGTATCTGGGGCAATGGAGGTTGGTATGTTGGGATTAGTGAAACTGGCTCAGGACAAGGAAAGTTCTGAGCTGCTATACATAGGGTCGTTATACATAGCAGGCAACTCAATGGCACATAATAAAAACATATTATATTGGTTGTTTTTTATTTAAGTCTCTTGCTTAGAGTCAACAAGACCTTGGAGAGGGTCTTTATATTTAATAGTTGGTTGTTTATATTTTGGGGGAACATTCTTCTAAGTGGTATAGCACACTTCTGTCAATATGCTGTAGTGAGGTGACCTGGGGTTGCTGTGGTGCTGAATCTTGTGCCATTGGGGTGTCAAATGCCGTAACGGTTACCCATGGTAGACAGTATTTGGTGGAGTTCTCAGTTTATGACAGGTTTGGAAGTAGGAGTGACATCCACTTCCTAAACCACATGCCTCTGGAAACTCTATGAACTTTGATAAATGTCGATAGTTATAGAAAGGCTTCAGGCCTTTTGTTCATAGGGTTGCTATGAGTTGTGCTCAACTCGACGACAATCAACAACAACAAGGAAATGTTTATGAACAGTACAATTCTTGGATGGTTCCAGGTGTGGGAAGGGGGGAGAATGGAGTAAAAACTGCATTAATAGATTCTGTTTGGTGCCATCAAGTTGACTATGTCAAATATCATCCTCAGATCTCTACAGAACGTGCTCAAGCACATTGTGGTAGTCAGTGTGCATTGTCACTGACCAAGCAAGGACTTGTTCCTCCTAAAAACATGCCCCAAGTGAGATCAACTGTTGCTCTCCTTTCCTCTAAGGAACATTCTTTTTTCAATTTTAAGAGGTGCTTCTTCAAGACAATTATGTTTGTTCTTTCTACAGTCCATGAATTAATCACAAATAAAACCATAACATTGTCTGGTACTTGTTGAATAAAGGAATAAGAAGTCGATTTGAATTTATTAGTCATGATTTCATGTGACATTCCAGTTAACTGACCTAATAATGTGCTTCTATCTACCAGTTTTTGTATAATGCCTGGGATCTTAGTCTGTAAATGACCATCAGAGCACAACTGGTCTTTATTTACTTAAAACAACCGAGAAATGAGGTCAATCATGAATAGGAGGAGGACAATGTGTCCACAGGATATTTTCATGCGCTGCAAAAAGAACAAACAAATCTGTCTGGAAGGAAGTGCAACCAGAGGATTCCTTAAAGGCAAGGGTGGTCAACGGGTTAAATTGAGTTGAAGGGGTTGAGCAGACGCTGTAAATCCTGTCTGGATGACTGAACGAAATCTAGAATAACTTCAAAACTTTCACTGAAATGACAGCTAAAATAGAATCAAACTGGAACTCAGCCTCGCGCGTGTGAGCAGGAGTCCTACGCCCGGGCCCCCAGAGCCGAGGTGCTGGCCGGCAGAGGCCGCCCCATACGTTAGGTGGCTGGAGCGGGGCCTACTCACACGTGACGTGGTTGGGCCAATGGGAGTGCGGCTCGGGATCGCGGGGCCACGGCCAGCGGGTAGGATGCCGTAGCCGCACAGCCTACAGTGGAGAGAGCTGGCGGGTAGGCCAGCTGCTAACCATGGAGGGTCTAGTCGAACGGGCTCGAGCAGCGTTCCGGTCCGGCCGCTCGCGGTCTCTACAGTTCCGGCTGCAGCAGCTCGAGGCCCTGCGAAGGATGGTACAGGAGCGCGAAAGAGACATCCTGGAGGCCATCGGCTCAGACCTGTGCAAGGTGCGGGCGCCGGCCTCCCGCCGCCCTGTAGGACGGCGTTGCCTGGAGCGCTTGCGTTCTTCTTTATTTTTTATGCACTCATTCTCTTTTTCGTTAAGTCGGAACCGACCCAGGGCTGACCCTCCTGCTAGTTTTGAGAGGCTGTAAATCCCAAGGGAGGAGATTGCCCGCCTTTCTCCGACGGAGCGAAAGGTGGCTCCGCGCAGCTCCCTAGGACTTCCCCGGTTTTCCGGGTACACAAGCCAGGCCTTCTGCCGATGCTTGTGCCTTTCGCGTTCTGCAGTTCATCTTCTAGGAATTATTTTTTCTTTGCCCACATTTCTGTCGGGTCTGTAAAGCTTTTTACTTTGTAGGCGCTTTTTATACTTCCTGGATTTCATAGTTTGCTAATTTGAAGTGTTCCAGATGTTTTTCTCCCAAGTTTGGTTTCTTGTTTCAAACCGCAGTTTCTTTTGCACACAGTTATTTTCAATTTGTCGTTCTCATATTTTTGGATGTAACTTTCTGGTTTAGGTCCGCTCACCTCAAACTCTATAGTGTTCTGAGGAATCCTCTAGGAATCTTGTTAAAATGCAAATTATGGTTCAGGCTGATCAAGCCTGAGATTCTCCAAAGTTGCCATTTAATTCCCAGTTGATACCCTGCTTTCTGTTCTAGAACCACAGTTTGAGTAATAGAATTACTGTATTGTTGTTTTCACATTTTATGTATATCTCATGTGTGGTAAGACTTTCTCCTGACTTTGTGAGTCTGCCTTCCTCATATCAACGTTTATTTCAAGGAGTAGTAATAGAGGTAGTAACAGTAGTAAAATTGCCTTTATTTTGGAATTCTTTTGGTGAAGGGAGCTGTAATAGTAAATGTATAATGCTGAATAAGAAGATTCTAAAAAGGCTATGATTCATTTACTCATTCTATATATATTAGATGTTTGTGTTAATATGTCTATGCATAGCCGTGCTAAAAGTATTAAGATCTTTGACCTTGAGAGTTTTAAATTTGGTTGGCAGAGAAAACAGATTAAATAAAAATATAATTTAAAGCTAGTGTATTAGAGAAATATTGAGACACCGGTTAAAGTGTGATCATAGCAAGCTATCACTAATTGAGGAAGACTTCTGAAGAAGTTAAGGCTTAAATCTGATATAAGGAGCTTGGATCAGTAGAGATGAGTTTTGAGGTATTGAATGTGTTAGTCAATCACTATTGAAGGTTTGAGAGTCCTTGAGTTGGGTAAGTTGTTGATGCCTGTGGTCAAAGTTTGCATGTACCTTGAAGTGCCTTGGGGAAAAAGGCTTGACAGTCTGAATTTGAAAAACCTGCGTTGAAAACCAGATGGCATACATTTCAACTGTGCACATACTCTCACTAAGTTAGAATTGACTTGATGCCAGTTGGTTTTATTGAAGGCCTGGAGGGTGCAAAGGGATCTGGGTATTACACCAGCTGCTGTGATTCTGCTTGCTGTCAGGGTGAGTATATGTGCTCTGAGGGTTTTGACAATCAAGGCTGAGTAAGTGGTAATCATTATGTAAGGTTAACTGTGATTGATTTTCTTGTAACAGAGTGAATTCAATGCCTACAGTCAGGAAGTCATTAGTGTCCTTGGAGAGATTGATCATGCCTTGGAGAAGCTTCCCGAATGGATTACTCCTAAGCCAGCTGAGAAGAACCTGCTTGTCATGCTAGATGATGCCTATGTTCATTCAGAACCCCTGGGAGTTGTCCTGATAATTGGAGCTTGGAACTACCCCTTTGTCCTCATCATCCAGCCACTAATAGGAGCCATTGCTGCAGGTCTTGTGCCAATTTATGTCTCTCTATCTTTTTAGGGTGGAGGGACGCCACAGGAGGGGAAGACCCTCTATGGGGTGGATTGAATCAGTGACTGGTGTAATCAAGATAGGTGTGTCAGAGGCAGTGCTATTGGCACAGGATAGAGCAGGGTTTAGGGCTGTTGTACATAGGGTCGCTATGAATTGCAAGCAACTCGATGGCACATAACAACAACAAAAACAACAGCCTTTTTAGAGTCTTGTCCTCCCCTGTTGGTTTCAAATGAAGAATTGTGAAAGTTTGTTTTGATTTATACCTATGGGCTACTGATATTTAGTAATTATCATTTTAAAATAATTGGGCCCCTGGGAATTTTTTGCATGACAATTGTTTTTGTTAGATGGTGTGCCACCAAGCTGAGTACAATTCATAGTGACTCTATAATAGATCTAAACTCTGCCCTATCCTGTGCCATTTTAATCATCTCTGACATGCTGAGTAGTTCACACTGAAGGATATAAGCCATCTGATTCAGCAGGCCCAAGGAGTTAGAATCAGGCATCTGTTGTTTTTTCTTTACAGTGCAAGTTCATTTGCTGACATAGGTCTTGAGCTAACCATTTGATTCTTTCTAATCAACATCTTCATTCATACAAGGCTTTCTTTTTTTTTATTATTAAATTTTATTAGTTTTAATGAACATTTACAGGGATTTTGGGTTTTCACTCCTTCATTGCTGCACCATTCTCTCTACCCTCCTCCCCAGT